GTAATAATCTACAGTAGGGAAATCTAAGGAAAAAATAGAGATTTTTGAAATGTAAACTTCTCTGAGCAAATCACAGGTTAGAATTTAGTCGTCCAAGAATAATATTTAAAGGCGCCTGGGTGGCTCAGTCAGTTGAGCGCCCAACTTCGGCTCAGGTCATGATCTCGTGATCCATGAGTTTGAGCCCTGTGTCGGGCTCTGTGCTGGCGGCTGAGAGCCTGGAGCCTCCTTCAGATTCTATGTCTCCCTCTCTCTCTGCCCCTTCCCTGCTCATGCTCTGTCAAAAATAAATAAATAAACATTAAAAAAAAAATTTTTTTAATTTAACTTCCATAACTAATCTACACATCGGTTGGGGCTTTTTTCCTCACTATTATTGATATTGCTGCTCTGTGTTTTGCTTTGTTTGTGCAGACTCCATGCACATAGAAGATGTCGAAGCTGTTCAGAAGCTTCAGGATGTGTTACACGAGGCCCTGCAGGATTATGAGGCCGGCCAGCACGTGGAGGACCCGCGCAGGGCCGGCAAGATGCTGATGACCCTGCCGCTCCTGAGGCAGACCTCCACCAAGGCCGTGCAGCACTTCTACAACATCAAACTAGAAGGCAAAGTCCCCATGCACAAACTGTTTTTGGAAATGCTGGAGGCCAAGGTCTGACTAAAAGCTTCCTGGGCCTTCCTATTCTGCACGCCGAAAAAGGGAAAATAAACCCAAGAGTGATGTCGAAGAAACTTAGAGTTTAGTTAACAACATCAAAAATCAACGGACTGCACTGATAATTTAGCAGCAAGACTATGAAGCAGCTTTCAGATTCCTCCATATCTTCCCGATGAGTTTCTTTCTACCTTATCTCCTCTCCTTTCTCCCTTTCTTCTCTCATTTCTTTTGCTCTTTTTTTTCTCCTTCCCTTATTCCTCCTTTCCCTCATCTCTTAGCTTTCTTCATTACTGATTCCCGCTTGCCTTCATTTGCTTCCTTCTGTCCTTCCTTCCTCCTCCTCCTCTCTCTTCCTCTCTTCCTTCCTCCTTCTCCTTCTCTTTTCTCATCCTTCCCCTTTCTCCTAAATTTCACATATGTCTAGTTGTAAGGAAATTGTCCCTTTCCTTTCCTTTCCTTTTTCCTTTCCTTTCCTTTCCTTTCTTTTCCTTTCCTTTCCTTTCCTTTCCTTTCCTTTCCTTTCCTTTCCTTTCCTTTCCTTTCCTTTCCTTTCCCTTCCTTTCCCTCCCTCCCTCCCTTCCTTCCTTCCTTCCTTCCTTCCTTCCTTCCTTCCTTCCTTCCTTCCTTCCTTCCTTCCTTCTGCTGCTGAACTTCTAAAAGAGGTCTCTAACTGAAGAGAGATGGAAGGCAGCCCTGCCAAAGGATGGAAATCCATAATATGGATGCCAGTGAGCTTGTTGTGAACCATAACGTCCCCAGTGACTAAGGAATCAAAGAGAGAGAACCAACGTACCTAAAAGTACAGTGCAACACAAACAAATTGACTGAGTGCAGTATTAGCTTTCACGGGAGCAGCCTCTAATTAGACAACTTAAGCGACGTTGCATCGGCTGCTTCTTATCATTGCTTTTCCATCTAGATCAGTTACAGCCATTTGATTCCTTAATTGTTTTTTCAAGTCTTCCAGGTATTTGTTAGTTTAGCTACTATGTAACTTTTTCAGGGAATAGTTTAAGCTTTATTCATTCATGCAATACTAAAGAGAAATAAGAATACTGCAATTTTGTGCTGGCTTTGAACAATTATGAACAATAATGAAGGACAAATGAATCCTGAAGGAAGATTTTTAAAAATGTTTTGTTTCTTCTTACAAATGGAGATTTTTTTGTACCAGCTTTACCACTTTTCAGCCATTTATTAATATGGGAATTTAACTTACTCAAGCAATAGTTGAAGGGAAGGTGCATATTATCACGGATGCAATTTATGTTGTGTGCCAGTCTGGTCCCAAACATCAGTTTCTTAACACGAGCGCCAGTTTACCTAAATGTTCACTGACACAAAGGATTAGATTACACCTACAGTGACTCCAAGCAGTCACGTATCTTACGCACTGCACATGGAGAACAGATCCGTAGAATTATCAGGAGTGCGCCTCTCTACCCGGGAGGTACAGTTGCCATACGATTTCTAGCTGCCATGGTGGTTAGGAATGAGATACTGCCTGTTTGCAAAGTTACAGACCTTGTCTCAGAAGGAGCTGTGAGCCAGTATTCACTTAAGAGGCAATAAGGCAAATGCCAGAAATTGAGGAAAAAAAAAAAAAAATCATCAAAGACAGCAGACGCCTGACCAAATTCTAAAACCTAATCTTTATGAGTTTATTCATTTAGGAATGTTTGTTTAAATTAATCTGCAGTTTTTACCAAGAGCTAAGCCAATATATGTGCTTTTCAACCAGTATTGTCACAGCAAGAAAGTCAGTCAGGTTCCAGACTGTTAAGAGGTGTAATCTAATGAAGAAATCAATTAGATGCCCCCGAAATCTACAGTCGCTGAATAACCAATAAACAGTAACCTCCATCAAATGCTATACCAATGGACCAGTGTTAGTAGCTGCTCCCTGTACTATGTGAACAGTCTTATTCTATGTACACAGATGTAATTAAAATTGTAATCCTAACAAACAAAAGAAATGTAGTTCAGCTTTTCAATGTTTCATGTTTGCTGTGCTTTTCTGAACTTTATGTTGCATTCGGAGACTGTCGTCTTGTTCTTCTTGTGGTGTTTGGATTCTTGTGGTGTGTGCTTTTAGACACAGGGTAGAATTAGAGACAATATTGGATGTACAATTCCTCAGGAGACTACAGTAGTATATTCTATTCCTTACCAGTAATAAGGTTCTTCCTAATAATAATTAAGAGATTGAAACTCCAAACAAGTACTCATTATGAACAGATACACATCAAAATCATAATAATATTTTCAAAACAAGGAATAATTTCTCTAATGGTTTATTATAGAATACCAATGTATAGCTTAGAAATTAAAACTTTGACTATTTCAAGAATATAGATAAGTCTAATTTTTAAATGCTGTATATATGGCTTTCACTCAATCATCTCTCAGATGTTGTTATTAACTAGCTCTGTGTTGTTGCAAAACTTTTTGGTGCGGACACGTTTCCAAAACTATTGCTACTTTGTGTGCTTTAAACAAAATACCTTGGGTTGGTGTTTCATCAGCCTAGTGCTAGGAATACTGTGTATCTATCATTAGCTATATGGGACTATATCGTAGATTGTGGTTTCTCAGTAGAGAAGTGACTGTAGTGTGACTCTAGATAAATCATCATTAGCAATTCATTCAGATGGTCAATAACTTGAAATTTATAGCTGTGATAGGAGTTCAGAAATTGGCACATCCCTTTAAAAATAACAACAGAAAATACAACTCCTGGGAACAAAAAGGTGCTGATTCTATAAGATTATTTATATATGTAAGTATTTAAAAAGATTATTTTCCAGAAAGTCGGTGCAGGGTTTAAGTTGCTACTGTTCAACCACACTATATAGAAGTAAAATAGATGCGATGTATACGTTGTTTTCACTGTATCACATTAAAGTACTTGGGCTTCAGAAGTCAGAGCCAACCAACTGAAAACAGGAGCTGGAGATGTGCGAAAGGAATGAGGTACCAATCTTAGTTTTCAGTTTAAGTGACTCTTGGCGTTTCCAAGAACAAGCATCTCACATGTAGGAGACACGACTATAAAAGGCAGATCCAAAAGAGCTGCACGGGCTTTGGGGTCAATGCTCATCTTAAACCTCGCTCGAGGTAAGTTTTTTTCAAGTTTCAAGCAAGGCCATTTACTTAATGTGAAGTTTTGGAAAGGTATGAAAGAGTATGTTTTCACCATATGATTTGAACTTTCATTTCGCTTCTTTTAGGTTTGTTCTTATTTAAAGCAATATGATTGTGTGGCTATCTGTAGTTACACTTGTGTTTCAATCAGATCAGATTGTTGTATTTATTCCACTATTTTGCATTTAAATGATAACATAAAAGATATGAAATATTTAAAACTGCTATTTTTCTTATAGAAGAGAAAATGGGTGTTGGTGATTGTATTTTAATTATTTAAGCGTCTCTGTTTACCTGCCTAGGAAAACATTTTATGGCAGTCTTATGTGCAAAGATCGTAAAAGGACAAAAAATTTAAACTGCTTATCATAATCCAGGAGTTGCATTATAGCCAGTAGTAAAAAGAATAATAATAATAATAAAACCATGTCTATAGCTGTAGATGGGCTTCACATCTGTAAAGCAATCAATTGTATATTTTTGTGATGTGTACCATACTGTGTGCTCCAGCAAATGTCCATTTGTGTAAATGTATTTATTTTATATTGTATATATTGTTAAATGCAAAAAGGAGATATGATTCTGTAACTCCAATCAGTTCAGATGTGTAACTCAAATTATTATGCCTTTCAGGATGACGGTAGAGCAATATTAAACAAGCTTCCACTTTTGATGGCTCTTTTGTATTGTGTTTCTTTCTTTTTTGTTCCCCCCACCGAAGAACCCAATCAGTAAACACTGCCCTTTGTCGCTTCCATTCAAAAAGGATCTCTGAGTACCTATTCCCTAAAAATAAAGTAGGACTTTAAATAAGAGCTATATAAAGGCTTGTCAGAATGAATTCTAGGGTGCCAAGAGACATTTTGCATATTTAAGAGTATGCAAAGTGTCTCATGGCACATTAGAATTCATTCTGACAAGCCTTTATATAGCTCTCATTTAATCTTAAAGCATCTCCACATCATCCTGCATTACTCAAAATCATCGCCTCTATGTCAATGTCATAACAGAAAACTTTCTCCCTATTTTAAGATCATATTAAAACCTGCTAGAGATACCTATTATTTCCCTCCATCCACAATTAAATCATGTGCTTGCACGCAGCTCGTCGGCGAGCTGCAGGCTCTCCCGGAGCAGCCGCGGAGTCGCTGGCCAGATTTCCTGAATGGGAAATCAACAGAGACCGTGCAGATCCGTGTGCGCGAGGAGGGGGAGCTGTCTCCGAATTCAAGAGGGTTAAAGGCACTGCTGACAGCAAATGGCCTCCCCTTGCTTTCGTTCCCCCGGAGAGGTCACGGCCCTTGTTGCCCTGGGTCAAGCTGCACGTCCACAGGACCCCCCTGGAGCCGTCACCGAGGTGCTAATATGTGCTTTCTTGACTTCTCTGCCCATCTTGCGTTTTGTCGTTTTGTCGTTGTGTTTGGCCACCTTATTTCTCACCTTTCAGAGGTGGCCGGTTCTCTCGCGCCGGCTGATGACACAAAGGCCACCGAACGCAATCCGATTTAGGGGCATGAGATTACCTAAATCACCAAGATACCCTAGCTAGCAGCATCACTCACGGGTCTCTTCCTCTTTCAATGTCCTTTGAGTGGCAATAGCGTGACAGAGACTCTGAGGTGTTTTAGTTTTGATATTTGCAAAGTTTTCGGGGGGACCTGACACCACGCAAGGGACAAGCCCAACAGGAAGAAGCTGCCTGTGATCTTTCAGTGAGGTCCTCATTTAAACACATGTAAGTCGCAGGCGAATGCTTTTAAGAAAAATGTCAGACTTCTCTTGCTGGTTTTTGGAATTCTGAATTATTACAGAGTCACTTTTCTGGTACTGACGTAGTTATCAGAGATGCCTCAGGT